GAGGCGGATGGCGGGCAGACACCGCGCACGTCACACGGACGGAAGTGACGTCCTGCCCCTCTCCATGCCAAGTTGAAAACTTTCATTCAAATCAACTTGACGTGAGCCAGTTAGAAAGTCAGAATGAAAAATAAAGGATTCTTCTCACAGAGGAGGGCCAGGCTTCCGGCCCCGTTTAAAGTGAACTGTGCCGAGTCCCTGCTCCTTCAGAAGAGACAACTGAAGGCCGGTTATTGCTGCAAAGCCAGAGGCGGCCCCCTTTCCACCGCGAAGAAGCTCCACGCAGAGGCTGCTGGTGTGGCCTGCGGCCCGGGAGGACGGAGCGCGGGTGCGGGTGCGGGCGGGCAGGCTGGCACCGCAGGCCTCTCCGCCCCTGCCCCTCCCCCCGAGGACCCAGGGCTCTCACACAGCCTTGGAGTGGCGCAGAAGGTGTGACCTGGGCCCCTTGGCGAGGCGAGGCCAGCGACCTTGGCTGACCACGCCTACGGAGCAGTCAGAAGTCCAAAGGATCGAGCCCAAACAGCCGGAAGGGCAGCTTCTGACACGAATGGTGGTCCCCAGCCGGTCAGGGGGGCCAAACTGAAACGCGGGGCGGCTGTGACTTGGGCAACAGCGTGGACACGGGAGGCTGATAAGGCCACAAATACTGCCACCGCCTTCTCAGATCCACGCTTGGAGACGCCAGGCAGCGGGACTGAGGACCGGAGGGCGAGTGGCGACACGGGGTGGATTTTATCAGAGAAGAGAGGCCAGCTGACCGCACACCTGCCCCGTTTACCTTGAGTGGCCTGTGCCAGGTAAAGAGTCTGGGGCCCGGGAAGTTCCTGAGAGCAGGTGGTGCACGCGGCAGGGGGACAGGCACTGAGGGACGCTAACAGTGCTGCATCTCCTGGGCTGCTGACAACGAGGCCAAGAGTGGGCTTTATTGCACATTTCATTCTCGGGAACCTAGGGACCACCCCACAGAGGCTTTCCACCTGCAGAAACCCCTGCCTGTCACTATGGTGCCAGCGGGGGCACGGTCACTTGACGCTTGGGGGGACAAAAAAGCCCAGTGGTCGGTCCTTCTGGTGCCACGCTCGCACTTGGGCTCCTCAGGCCAGAGGGACCGCATCTGGCCTGGTCACTGGCGGGCAAACGCCTGGGACAAGGCAGCAGGCCCGGGAGAGATGGGCGGACCTGCTGTCACCTCAATGACACTGCCAGCAGGAAGCTGGAGCAAACTTTCCAAGTGGGGAAAAATTCTTGGCAAATGTGCGGGTTCCGGAAAGGGGCAGGACCCTTGATTGTCGCCCCGGTGTGCCCGGCCTCCCTGCCCGGAACCCAACCACCTGGCCTGGCAGGACCTGGCTCCAGCCACGCAGCATCAGGCTAGAAGGGACAGCAGGGCCTCGGAGGGCTAGAAACAAAAGAGAAGTTCACATAGCAGACGTGCGTCTTGAACTAGTCTTTTTGAGCTCAGGAGACTGAAGGCAGACAACCCGCCGAGGCCACACGGAGACCCCGCCGGGCTGCCGCTGTCCGGCCACGTGTCCTGAGCGGCTCGCCACGCTTCATATGTAAATAGGGTGGTAGCGTTTGTGATTGATCTTTTTCCTGCAGGTTGGACAAGTATTGGCATTCTTAAGGGAGTCTCGCAGGCACTGGCTGCAGAAGACGTGGCCACACTCTGTGGAGACAATGAGACGCCCATTCTGCACAATCTACAAAACACAACGAGGAGCGGCCGTCATGAGTGCCCTCGTCCTGGAGCAGCAGCTGTCCCCAGACCCGCTCCCCTGCCCATCCCCAAGATGAGGCCGAGGGGGAGGAGGGCAGGGCTTCCGTGGGGGCACACAGGGGCCACTGTGCACACCAGTCACTGTGCTTTGGCCACGGGGACCACGCAAGGCCAATACACTTGCACAGGGAAGGCCAGGGCTGAGGGCCATAAGGCCCAAGAAGTTGGCACATTCTCCGTTCGCACGCAGATGCGTGAGAAGCCGTGTGCCTGACCGGTGTGACGGCAGCAGAGGTGTCAAATCCCACCCGAGGAGGAGGTCCTGCTTGGGGACCAGAGCAGGGAAGACAGCAGGGCCGCTTACCTCTGAGTACCCGTCCATGCAGATCGGACAGCTGACAGTACCCGAGGGCCTAGAACCACAGGGCTTCACGTCAGTGCCTGCTCATGCAGCCACCCACGCTCGGCGACGTCACAGAAGCAGCTGCTTCCCCAGGAGCACCCTCTGACCCTGCCTCAGCACAGGCACTGGGGAGACTTATAAGAACCACGGACCAGCATTCCTAGCACCGTGCCCACTGCCCCACTGGGAAATGGAGAGCGGGGAGAGGACCCGTGCCAGGGGCCGAGGAGGTCCCGCGGGGCCAGAGGCTTCCTCGCGGCAGCACAGTAGTGGCGCGCAGGTAGGTACCTGAGTCCTGTAGCTGCCTCTTCTCTGGTGTTCCTGGGAGTGTGGGTGGTCACATACACGTCCCTGTCCCTGGCCAGCTCCTCGTCATCACTGCTCACCACGCAACTGTCAGCGTGGTCCTGGCGCAGCCTCCTGGCGGTCCGCCTCGGCCGTCTCCTTTCTAAGGCGTGAGTCCGTGCTCAGGGCAGAGGCCTCCCGGACCCACCGCCCTCACTGCCCTCCTTCCCGCCTAGGAAAGGCCAGCCCCAGGCCCCAGGGAGGACTGGCCACCACACCCCGCCATAGCCCAGGAGGTCCCTGTGCCTGCTGTGCGCAGGAGCCTGAGCTATGAGCCATCTGTGGCGTCACACTGGGGGCCTGTAGCCCAGCACCAGGGGTGACGGCTCCTCAGCAGGTGCAGGACTGACAACGGCAGGTGTGACCACCGCATCGTCGCAGGTGGCCTCCGGCCTGGCCTCCCACCTACAGGTCTGGCAAGGCCTGCAGCGCTGTACACCCCTCTCCCACATCGGTTCTCCACCCAAACCCAAGGAAAAAGGAGAAACCACTCACCATCAACAATCTTTGAAAAAGGGGAAAAAAGAAAAACAATCAGTTTGATATAAAATATTTCATATTTTTTGAATGCATAAATGACAAAATTGAAGCATTTCTTGTTTCAATGGCAATATTCTCAGGTACCAGCGGAACGCCCCAGGATGCAAGGTGGGGCAGGGACAGGGCCGCCCCTTCCCCACAGCTGCGAGGACGTCTAGAACTGCTGGCCATGTGACATGGGGAAGTCACCCTCTGGGAGCCACCAACTTCCGCTTCTGGAAAGCAGGCACCAGTGCCCACGGCTCAGCGTGCTGTCGTGAGGACTAAGCGAGACAAGGCCTGGGCTCTGGGGCAGCGGGGACCCAGGCTGTGGCTGGCTCCTCACGCCCATCTTGTCCTCCTGGCCACTGACAAGGATCTGGCTCCACGTGGCCTGCTGCCAAGGACTGGCCTTTGCTGGGAGGCTCTGTGGTACTTAACATGCTGTAGAGACACGTAACCAACTACATGCAGCAGGCCACACCAGGGCGACGGGGAGGAGCGGCTCTGGGCCCCCGCTGCCCTGTCGCCAGTCACTGCGAACGCACACTCAGACCAGCTCGCGGCACCAGCGTCCCAGCAGGTCGGCCTGCCCTGCGGTCTGCCCCCTGGAAAGCACTGCTGCCCACCACCCCTCAGCCCTACGGCGGCGCCGAGACGTCTGGGGTCATCCTAGAGGCCTGCTCCACTGGCCTTTTCGGCACGGGCACCCCACCCTCCCTGGCCCCGGGGCCGGAGCCTCCGTCCTCCAACCCGAGACCCTGTGGGGCAAATAGCTCCCAGGAAGGAAGAAGCAGAGACCTGCACTTTGCGGATGATGACATCCCCATGGGAGGCTACTGAGGGCGAGGGTAAGTGACAGGTGACCTCAGCATCGGGCCACGTTCACTCCAAGAAAAGCGTGGCTGGGCGAGAGGCTGTCTACGTGCAGTCCCAGGAAAAGGGTGGACGCCCTGCCGTGGGCAGCGGGGACCTGGCTTTCTGAAGCGCCAGCACCGCCCTCGCCCCCTCCGCCCCGACGGCCCATGGAGGTGTGCACACACCTGGAAGGGCTGGCGCCGCTGGCTGCGCGGAGCAAGCAGGGACTGGGCCTCCCCAGGCTCTCGTGAGTCAGACCCCATGCACAGCTGGGCAGAGCCAAGCTCGGCCACGCATGAACACTGGGGCCCCAGGACGCTGCTGGCACACGCAGAAACTCCACGCATTACTGCTGGGTAAGCGACACACTGGTGGTGACGACCGCCCCCACCTTCCCAGGAGAACACCTCAGAAAGAAGGCCTCTCGCCCAGAGGACAGAAAAGGGTGCTACGCCAGCCCGGCCTCCCAGCGCCATGCCCTTCCGTGCGCCCGTGCCACTGCCCACTGATGTCACTGGAGCGCCCGCCACCCAGCGGCTGAACCACATCAGTCGCAGGCACTCCGGATGCCCCGTCCTCCTGGCCATAGCCCTGTGGGGTGGCATGGTGCTTGCTTGTCACGAGCGGGGGCGCTGGGCAGGGCCACAGCTACAGAACAATGACACAGGAGCAGACAGAACAGGGACAACGCGAGCTCTGGAGCCCTCTTCTGCATGACAGGCCTTAAGAAGAGACAAACACCAAACCAAAACCAGCACCGGTCAGCATTCCCGGGTCCGAACAGCCGAGTCGCAACCGCGGCGACCAGACCCCAGATCGGACACACACATGCCACGTCCCTGTCAGTCTGCTCTGCGGCCACAGGACAAAGCCCAGCCAGAGCCAGCAGACATCCGGGTGCAAGCGGGCGTTGGCACCGCGTGCTGCTCGCTTTCACACCGGGCACCCTGACCCCAGGCGCCGACACCACGGCACAAGTGGAGGGTCAGTGGGGTAGACAAACCCTGCTCCTGGCGCCCCAGGCACCGCCCATGGCTGCAGCAGTGAGCAGGGCTGACGAAGGGCGAACCAAGTGCTGGGGTCCACAGGGCGTCTGCGCCACCAAGCCCGGCACGGGTAAGATGTGCATCGGCCCTGGGCTCAGACAGCCCGTGCCTGGACGGCGTCTTGCGTCTTGGCCACCCCTTCAGACCCGCATGCACCACGCGGCCACAGACCCTGCTGCGGAGGGCTGTGCTGCTGTGCGGCCAGTCCCATGAGAGCGCGCGTCCAGCTTGCGGACGGCCGTCTCCCCAGCTGCTGGCTCGCCGTCCGGCTCCTCTCACCCCCGGCCGCACCACCTACGCCCTCCCACAGGGCCCTTCCCTGTCCCTAGACAGCCACCGTCGGCAGACCCTTCCGACGGCCCGCAAGCTCGCAACCCGGCGGCGTAGACACAGCACTGACGGCCCCACTGACCAGTGCGCTGTGGAACCAGGTCGATAAGGACCCGGAAAACCAAGCTGACTTTGAAAGAAGCAAGCTCATGAAATTTAAAGAGGGAGCACGATCCAAGCAAGTACCACCTTTAACGAGCAGCCCCCAAAGACGCCGATCTTAGTCTCTCCATCACTCTCCACTCCAGTCGGAGACAGGCCCACGGCAAACGCTCAGAAGTGGCCTGAGCATCTTAATTCACCTGTTAAACCAGGTAACAAAGCAGAAGGATGCAAAACATAAGCAGAGCTTTCCAATAAGTGGCAGGCTAGTGTTTCCATCAATTCTCCTACTGAAAACTACCAAAAAATAAAAATAAAATAAAACGTAAGTATTTAAAAATAAAGAGGTATCAAAAAAAGATATTCGGTCAAAAGTAAAGGGAACATAATAATCTAGACAAATAAAAAAGCGAGAAGATTCCTGAAAAACTGAAGCGCACTTTTGAGTCTCAGAGAAACTGCAGCCCAGGCAGAAGCCTGAGGGCCGGCCCCTAGCGAAGGCCCCGGCTCTGCACAGCCAGCAGCAAAGGACCGAGACACGTTCACGCGACCAATAATGTAAAGGATGAGTAACAACAAAAAGAATCCCCTTACGTTTATAAGTTAAAAAATACAAATTTGATAAGCATGTTAAACTGAATATGAAATACCAATATCAATATCTGTAGGGTACTGCTAAATAAAATATAATCTTAAATGAATTTATTGAAAAGTGATGAAAATGTTAGAAAAACAAAATAAACTTTAATAATCAATGAATAAAAACAAACGTATAAGATAAAGAATCCACAAAGCTAAAAGATCTAATAAAGCTGATACTAATCTAAAAAAACAGAAAACACAAATGGCCAATATCAGAAATGAAAGAAGAGACATCACTACAGATAGAACAAAACATAAGACATTATGAACAAGCCGACGCCAGTAAGTGAAAATTTTAGATGAAATCGACAAATTCCTTAAAAACTCATAAAAACTGGGGATGACTTTCACTGCAGGTATCATCACCGTAGAGCTCTACCAAACATTCAAGTTAGAAATTTCAGTCTTATCAAATCTTCCAGAGAACAGAAAAAAAGCAACTCACTTTATAAAAATACCAAAACCCAATAAGGAATGCATACAAAAAAAAAATTACAGACCAATCTTATTCATAAAAATGGATGCAAATATCATATAGTATAAAATATTAGTAAACTGAATCTCGCAATATACAAAAACAATGTCACGACTACAATGTTTAATGGGTTTAACAATAGAAACCAATGTAATTCTACACCTCAACATATGAGGGGGGAAAAATTATCATTAGATGGAATCGTTAAAATTCAACATCGATTCCCGGTGAAACGTGGAGCCAAACAGGAAATAGAGAAGAATTTCTCCAACCTGATAAAGGGATAAACAACAAACAAAAACCCTGGAGCAGAGGTCTCACTCAACGGCAATACTGAAAGGATGCTTCCAGACTGGAATGAGACAGAATGTCCACGACTGCAACCATTTTCACTCAGCCAGTGCTGAATTTTCAGCCCATGCTTAAGGCAAGGAAAAAAAGGAGAAAAACTTTTTCTGTGACGAAGGGCGAACCAAGTGCTGGGGTCCTATATACAAATCCAAAAGATTTACAGATTGAAAATTGCTGGATAAAAAAAAAAAATCAATAAATAGAATCAATTGCATTTCATTATGTTAGCAAATCATAAAAACAAAAAACTTTAAAATACCATTTTAATAGCATCCTAAAATACTAGGTACCTATATAAACCTAACAAAAGACTTGCAAAACCAGCACAGGGAACATCATAAAGCTTTACCGAGAGGCACTAAAGATCCCATCGCAAACCACACAGAAGTCAATAGGTGCAGATTAAAGACCTAAACGTGGAAAGTGAAGTAGTTAAAACTTTAGAATATGGGAACATATTTTTACAACACGAGATTTTCTCCAACAAACAGAAATTCAACTGTATTAAAATTAAAAACCTCTGTATATAAGCCAAAAAGAAAAAGGTAAGCCTCTGAGTAGGAGATAGACAACTAATGGCAGACTTGCATTTAGAACTTACAAAGAATTTATAAAAAACAAGACAAGGCAGACGACCAAAAGAGAAAAAAAAATTCACCGTTAAAAAAAATGAAAAGGTTGCTTTGTTCTGGTTCCACTTCTTCGGCTTTTTAAAAAGTTATATACACAGTATGTAAAAAATCTTTAAAGTTTCAAACAGGCAAGTCACAAAAGAGGAAAATGAACCACCAGTACACATGAAAAGGTGTCCAGTGCCAACAGTAACTGGGCAAATGCCAACTACGACCCGGCGGGGTCCTGCCAGGCAGCCCCCAACAGACTGGCTGAGCGGGGGGTGCCGAGGCCGTGGGGAGAGAAGCCCACTCTGGTGTGGCGTCCATTGGCGCAACCTCTTCAGAAAAGAGATCTCGTAAAAATCAGAGACACACGCCCTGGGACCCAGCAGTGACAGCCTTTCTGGGGTACGAAACGCCAAAAATTAGTATTGAGGAAAAACATGGGAGCAGAGAGGTGCAGGTCTCTCTGCATCTCACAGAATATGTATTTCTCATCACTGGGGCTTCGGGTCCCCTGGGAGTTGGGGAGACATGGTCTGCATCAGGTCTCTGAGGCCGCTGGGGAGCCTGCCACACAGCCGCTCCCAGGCAGGGCTCACGGCACACAGGTGGACCTCGCAGGCTCTGCTGGGCCTGGTGGGGCGCCCAGGGGGCGCGGGGGGACGGACGGTTCCCATTTCCTACCCTCCTGCGTGCAGGCCCGAAGTCACCCTGAACTCAAGAGAGAGAATTTTGGCTGCGAGCGTTTATCTCCATAAATTTAAAAACTGGCATTTAGATTTATTAAAACAGACAACAGAAGTGGAAAACGAGGAGTGACGTTAAGTCCAAAACAATTATTTTATGGTTGAGAGCACTGAAGCCACAGTAAAGTCCTCAGACCACAGTGACCCAGCCACTCAGGACAGAAACACAGGACCTGCCTCCCAAGCCCGTTTCCCCTTCACCTCCGCCTGCCCCTGGCCACCCGCCCACTCCAGGACAGCTGTCCCCACGCCGACAGTCCTGTCCTGTGTCTCCCGATGCCCCCGTGCACCCAGGGAGACAGGAAAACACGAAGCTCGGGGAAGGCCACGAAGCAGCCATTCAAACAGAATCAAGATGTGGAGGGGACGTCGGGGTGTCGGCCTGTCACCCAGTAGAGGCGAACTGTCGTCTCCTCGAGGGCAGGAGTGGGGTCCTGTGGGCAGAACCCCAGCCTCCCCAGCACCTGGCACGCCGGGCACAGGAGGAAAGAACCCCGCACTGCTACCAAGAGTCCATCGTCGATGGGGCCGCGGGCTTTGGCCAGGTCCAAACTCGGCTGCCTTTCCAGACGCCCAGGGCCCCGCGGCAACGCTGTGTCTCCATGGGCCACGGAGCACAGCGGCCGGGCCCCGACGGCACTCACGGCACAGCCCCACACACACCCCGGCACTGCCGCTCCCCTTTGGGGCCGGCGCCCCTGAGCACCTACCCCACCTGCTGGGCAGTAACCAACTTGGTGAGCACACAATGTGGGGTGGGGTGAAGGACGGGACAACAGAGACACACGACAGGCACCAGCGGTTTCCAGCCAAGGCCAGAGTCTAAATCCCTACGTCTGCCAGGACAGCCCGTCCTCGCCCTGTCCTTCTAAGGAATTCTGGAAGCTTCTTGGCGCGGCCCTCTTCTGAGGCTCTTAAGCTGCCAGGATGACCCCAGACCGTGGGCTCCAAGGAGAAACTCAGCGGTGAGCGGCTCCCACCAGCTTCGCGCTGCCAACCGTGCGATCGCCCCGCTTCGCCAGTGGCATAGGCCCCCAGCCCCCGCAGCGGGGCTCTGCAGAATGCAGAATGTGTCCACACGTCCTCTGACCGTCGCGGTCTCCTGCCCCCAGGGCCGCACAGGGCGTGGCATGGCGCCCCTGCCTGGGTCCACACCTGGCGCCATGGGCAGGGGGCACCACGGCCTCCCGGGCTCCATCCTCCGAGTCACCAGGTGGTGCTGCTGCGTGCCTGCCCCGCGGAGACAGCTGCTCCGGGACCCAGACTCCCCTGCAGTGCTGTACAAACACTGGGCACCCCCCAGGGGCTGGGCGCTCAAGCACAGGGTCCCGCTTAGTCCTCACGACACCCTCCTGATGTGGACAGCAGCTCCCGTGTCATAAGCAGAGTCAACAAGGCTAAGTAACTTGCCCAAGGTCACACAGCTGATGCAAAGGGTAGAAGCGGGGACTAGAGAGACATGGGCCCCTCGGAGTCCACCCCCAAGTGTCAGCTGGGGAAAGGTCAGGGACACAGGTCACTGTCCACAGGCAGCAGGGACCTCCCTGACACGTTTTCCACCTTGGCTCCAGTCACTGAATGCACAAGTTCCTTTGGCACAAACCTGTGACCAAGGCCTTAAGCCGTCGGTGCTTGCTAGGGGCCCACAGTCGCGAAAGACCAACCCCCACGCCCCACTTACCACGACAGAGTCGTTGTGAGTCAGGTCCACGACCACGGGCTCTAAAGATTCACAGGTGAGGTCCACTATTTCGTCTCCAGCTTCAAAATGAAGCATTTTAACAAGCGTTAGGAAGGAGAGCAAAGCGCACAGCCCCGTCCTGACAAACACAGTCACAAGCGGTGCAGGATTATTGCAAACTGAAACCCTAACTACGGCGTGCGAGGAGCATCGGGACCAACCCCCTTTCAGGGGCGACCGCCAACGAATGCCCTTCCATAACTCGCTGTGACGTTATGTGGCTTCTACAAATACTCCACCAGGGAAGGGGACAGGTGCCCGTGCATCCGCACATCTCCACCTGTGGCCTCACACTGCCACGCAGCTAGACCTCTGTGCGCCCCCAACCTGCATCATCACAGGGGAGAGGTGGTGACTTATGGTGAAGGAACCAGGCACGCTCGGCTCAGGGCCTTCCTGTTTGGGATGGACACCCCTGAAACCAGCAGGGGAAGCTGGTAACTGCCACTTCCCCACAGACCTCAACACATGCTTAGCTCAGCATCTTCATCAGTTGTTTTGATGGTCCCCTGGAACCCCCCCCACCGAAACGGGCAGGGCCGGTCCTGCAGCTTGAGCCCTAGGCTGCTGTGGCGTCCACGCGAGCACAGGGCAAAGTGGGGAAGAGCATGCGCCGGCGGTTACCGGCACTCACGTGGTAGGTGGGGGTGAAGGGCACAGCACAACTTCTGTTTACATAAACTGAAAGGTTTATGTCCATCGATTCTACTGTGATCAACATTAAAAAGGACAAGGGTGGGGTTTTTAGAAACTATTTGGGGGAGGTGACTAATACATTAGCATATTCAAACTTGTTTTACTTTCTTGCATTAAAGACTCACATGGCTAAACCCCCTACCATGTCAGAGATGTCCATGCCATCCATACAAAAAGACCTCGTTCAGGGAAAGTCCGTGTACTGACTGACACACACAATCCACAGAACCACTCCCGCTCCGGGGACACTACGTTTGGCTCTCACGGTAACGACACTCCGTGGGCCACCAGCACGTACAGCCCTGCATGTGGCTGAGGCTGCGTACAGCATGGCAGAGCTGTATCGGGAGCCATCGGGCCTTCCCCGGGCTGAGAGCGAGCCCTTGGGCAGACCCGACGGGGAGGCCCGCACCGGCCACTCCTGGACAACACGCAGTGCAGACAGCAGGGCACCAGCTCTAGGTAGCGGGCAGCCAGGTCCCAGCCTCCAGGCCCCTAGGAAGCCATGGTTCGGGATGGACTCAGAGAGCAGAGACAACGCTGGGGCTGCTGCACTCAACAGGATCCGCAAGCGGCTTGTTGGACAAGCCACTGCTCCTCAAGGTCACTCTTCAGCCGTTGTAGTTATAAAAACCAGCTTAATAAACTCTGGGCAAAGGGACTCGATGCAGGCCACGCGCTGCTTCCCCGAGTGGGCGGCGGGGATGGGTCTGGGCTCCAGCTCGCACACAGGCCGCTCTAGCCCCACGGCTGCCTTCCTGGGCGGTTTTTGGTCTTAACGAAAAGAGACGAGGAAAGCCGAGTAGTGCAGGGGCTGAGCGAACGGGAGGCAGGATTTCAGATAGCACACGTGGGTCCAGGACAGTCCTGGCCCCGCTCACGCCCCAGAAGGCTGACTGTCAGCCCAGCCGAGTGGCGACTCCTGCGCCATTAGCTGCACGCTGTCACTGCGGGCGAGTCTGAGGCAGTGACAGCAGCTGGCCTCGGACTCTCTGTTTCAGCCTCGTGACAACTCCATGCAGCAGACCCCACAGTAGCCCCCATTTCAGATGAGAAGCCCAGGCTCAGACAGGCTGTGTGACCTGCACGGGGCCCCATGGCTGGGAGGTGGCAGTGCCATGTGGTCACCCACGCCCACCCGTGCCGTCCCATGCCAATGCCCACGGTCAGCGTGCCCCGCAACCTCACCGCTCTCCACGAGTTCTATGGGTTCGGCTTCCAAGGCCATCTCAGGGGTGGAGGCTGCTTCCCGAGTTCGCTTCTGGGCTTGTCTGGAGCTCAGTGTCCCTCCGCGACGCTTTCTCTGACGGGAGCCAGAGGAAAAGAAGTCACACGAGCTCCTGCCCGACAGGATTCCGGCAAGGGGCAAAAGGCCAGCACAGGAACAGCCCGACTCACTCGGAGGTGGCGGCGGCCAAGCAGACCTGTGCTGGGGGCCTTTCAAAACCTGAGATTCTGGAACAGCGACTGTTCACAGAGAAACCACCCCGCACACATGGAGAACACAAGTCCCGTAAAGCAAAGCCCGCTCCCTTGGCCCAAAGGTACAGGGCGCACAGCTCTGCGGAAGCCCCCAGTCCGCATCCGGACCGGGCCAGAAACCCTTCCTGGGCCCTACCTCCTTGAACTTGTTTGGCCTCACCGAGCCTTTTCTACTTTTAGCCCAAAGGCGCTCAGTTTCCCAAGTTTCTGTCCACTGCGGAAAGCAGGTCTTCCTTGGGCAAGTCTGGTCTCTAATCTTTGGGATGTATCAGGTGTGGCTGACCCCTAACAGTCACCCTCCAACAACTCAGAAAACCAAAGTTCTCTCAGCCTCTTCCCAGTGGCCTGCAGGGAGCCATGCTTGGGGGAGACTCGGTCTCCAGGCCTGTCTGCAGCCATGACTCTGCCCCAGCGTTCCGAGCTGGCAGGTGAATCAAGAACACGCCCCCGCAGCCTTCCCCAGTGAGTGCCACAGGACCTCGGACTGGGCCATCAGCCTGCCCCTCCCCCAGCCTGGCTCAGCGCCTCAGCGTGCCTGTGCTCCGCTCCAGGGCACTGGGCCACTGCCCTGCACGACAGCCGACTGGGGCCGTCCAGTAAACGCCAAGGCTGAACTTGCCCACCAGCTTCAGCCTCGTAGAGTTATCCTGAGCCTCACGACGTAAGCACGTAAAGAGCTGAGCACAGACCAGAGAGGCCATTACTACTAAGCCCCCTATGTGCCTGCCTTACTAGGCGTTCTGTCTCTGGAGACACTGGGATGACAGGACACTGTCGGTGAGACCTGCACAACACCCATGAGCATCCTTCACCAGCCCAACCCTCGCTAGGCAACAGAGAGAAGGCCGGAGGTGCTGGCGTTCTGACGGAGACCCTGTACCAGACGTCACCTCAAGGAACTGGGCTGAGAGCCTGCAGGTGCTCCGTGACAGAGGGGCTACCAGGAGGCCCAGAGGGAGCGACAGCAGCAGCTCAAGTGTCCACTGAGGAACAGCTGTGTCCCTCGAGGGGCCGACGCCGGTCTCAGCTGAGTCGGTGCCCAGTGTCTCCAGGTTTCCCTACCAGCCTCCAGATGCTCAGGTACCCTTCAGTGTCACCCCGTTCTGTGTACCTGGTACCTTCCTTCCTCTCAACGGGACAGGTCTTTCTCAGTGGACGCGCTCCCTAGAACCTCTCACACCCGCCAAAGCCCGTGTGCTTTCTGCTCCCCGAGGGAGCTGAGCAGCAGCTACAGGCCCCGCCAAGTCCAGGTGCCGGACCTGAAGGCCGCTGTAGGAACGTGTCCCCAACCCCCTGGGCAGCCCTCACAGCTCCTTCCAGCAGGGACCACGCGCCACCCCACGTGGCCAATTCTTTCACAGCTCTCAGAAACCTGTGGAACGTCACCTCCACAACGATGACCCCACCCAGAAGCCCCCCGGACTCTCGTTAACGTGTCACAGGGAAGAAGGCAGCTGCTCAGCCTTGAAAATACAACAGGACCCGCGAGCCGGCAGACTCACCGTGCTCATTGTGCTCCTTGGCTGCGACCTAGAGGAGGAGGTGACCTGGGCCACGGTCTGCAGGATGCCGGGTGTTCCCAAGCGCTCGCGCCCGCTGCTCACCCACCCTCTGGGCGGCAGACAGACTGCCAGGGTCGTCAGTTCCTGAAAACAAAGACAGCAAGCTGATGAGCACCGCCTCCCGCACTGTCACCCATGCTTAGTCCCATCGTCTGGGGGCTTTGCTGAACACTATGCGATGTGTCCTTGGAAGGAGTGAGTATCCCTTTGAAATAGGGGACCTCTGACGTCCAAGCCTATGAGCCTGTCCCCTTCCTGCCAGGACCCTCAGAGCCAGCGCTGTGCAAGCTGTAGGAAGATGCGACTCAGAATTGCCCCATGTGACCCTGCCGACCCCTCACCACCTGGAAGGGACAGAGCTCCCCAGGCCAGAGGAGAGCCTAGAGTCCCTGGCTCTTCCCACAACGTCACTGTCGCCATCTGGAAGAGTGGACAATCTAGCTGAGGGGACGAGAGCCACCCACCCTGTTCGCCCTGTGTGCCAGCTGAGACTTCTGTCCCTGGCAATGCATGAGGGAAGGAGAACCAGAAAGTGTGCATCGGGAAGCTGAGCAGGAGGTTCCAGAGGGAAGAGAAGGCAGAGGCGGAGGCTGCTGGGGACAAGGCCTGGGATGTCACTGGGAGTGGCAGCAAATCCAGAATCAGGGACACAGTGGGTAAGGCAGCAAATGAGAGGCAAACTGTGGAGCCTGGGCCAGGAGTCAGAGCACGGAGTCCCTGTGGTCACCCATTCCGGGCAGGTGACAGTGGCTGCACAAGGTCAGTGGCTCTCAAACTTGGGCGGCACCAGGCCCACCTGGAGGGCTGGTTAAACCAGTGTCCAGTGCCACAGGTCTAGGAGGGGCTCGCAATTCTGCATTTCTACCGAGTCCCCAGGCAATGGTGACAGTGCTGCTCCAGGGGCCACACCTGGAGAGCTCAGGACTAGGACAATGGCCACACCTGGGGAGCTTCGGACTAGGAGAATGGCCTCAGCAACGGGACCACTTTCAAACCCATTTTCATCCCCAGCGCCGCCACTGACTCTAACAGGTCTCCCGCCTGCCAGCGCCCCTCGACTCAACTGCCACCCCATCTTTCTAAACACAGCCAATCACGGCAGCCTCGCCCCATCCAGTCCTCACTCCAAGCGGGGCCCATGGAGGCCAGCCGGCCTCACACTCATCACCTCTCCAGAGCCGGGGCCTCCAAACCCCTCCCTGCAACCCCGGGCGAGGCACTGAACTTCCCGTGCTGCTTCCTCAGCTATGAAGCAGGGCAGCACCTGCGTCAAGGTGCCTGGACCTCGGATGTCCCCACAGAGCAGAGAGCAGTGGAGGCGGGGCCAACACCGCCACACTCAGCACTCGCCACTAGGGCTCGGCCGCTCTGCTCAAGCCCTTGAGTGCCGGGAAACGCGCACCCATCGGTGTCAGGGCAGATGGGCTGCGTGTCACTGACTTCTTGGTGTGGCTCCGCTTCCAGTGGACAGACAAGGTGGCACTGGGCAGGCAGCTCAGGTGCTGCAAACGAGGTACGTGAGCTGGGTGTGGAAGAAACCCAGGTCAAGGAGAGCCGGAGGAGGCTTGTCCCTGTAACGCTCCCTCTAGCACCTGGTGGGCTGGGCCCTGCACACCCGCGATCCCCGCACCTTGCTATCCGCTCTGACCCCGAGTGGTTTACAGGGGTGACCCGTTCACCAGGTCACTCTCTGCGGGGAGACACTTCCTGACAGTCGTCAGGCCGGCCCATACCAGGGACCACCCGTGCTCTCCCTCACTCAAGGGTGGCACAGACCCTTCCCGAAGAGACAACTTGCGCACTGAGCCTTCAGCTTAGAATGGGGTTCAGGACAGATATTTCCACAGGAGGGAGAGGTGCCCCGACAGCCTTGTAGGCCCAGTCCCAGAGCTGCCACGATTCCTGGAATGACACGTTTATGTTCCCAATCCAAGAAGTGTCTTACATTCAGGTGTACACCCATGACGTAGCTGTTCTGGGGGAAAAATTATCTTGGACTTGAAAAGACCAACAAAAACCGCACTGACAGAGAAGAGACCTACGCTTAGCAAAGAGAAACAGTGTAACGCGCCTGCCCTGCATGTCCAGCAGCCTCTCACCTCCCACTGGTTAACTCTGGGGCTCACAAGATGATTGCTGGAGACAGTCCTGCCGCTGTCCGGGGGGGCTCCCCCGCCCTCTGAAAGCTGCCCCAGCAGGCCAGCTGCTTCCCCAGAGCTTCCTCATTCTCCAGGCCCTACCACGCCCTCCCCAACCGCCCCGCCCAAAGCCCGGCAGCCAGGGACTCCTCCGAATCTGCTCTTCTTCTGGGGGTAGTAAGGGCCAGCAGTGGGCCGGCAGTCAAAGGTCACAGGAAGTTGGAAGGCTGGCCTGAGGGAAACCTACCAAGAGGCTGGATCATACCAAAGGTGTAGTGGGAAGAGGGGCCAAGGGGTGTGGGAAAGGCAGCCTTCAGCAAGGACGAAGGGTTCTGGGTCATGCGGGTGATCGAGGCCATGCGAACAGCAATGACACAACAGCTAAAACTCTGAGGTCACTTCTACATGCAGGGCACCTCGCTTTCTAAATGCCTCTCGAGTAACTCTGTCACCTGACCAGGAGGTAGGTACTATATGGTCACCATTTCACAGGCCAGGAAGCTAAGGATGGTCAGGCTTGGAGAACCTGCCTGAAGGCCACAGCCGTTAAACACCAGAGCCCAATTTAAATGGCATTCTGACACCAGAACCCACTATGCCAGAATCAGATGTACCCAGAAAACCGAACTGGAGAAGGCAGAAGAGAAAAGGCACTGAGGGCAGACGATGTTGTTTCTAGAAACACTGGACATGAGATGTACAGGCAGGAAGGTCCAAGGCAGCAGAAAGGCTTAGGGAGAGACGGCACCAAGTATGAACATGTGGGGAGTCGGGCGCAGAGAGGGGAGCCCATGGAGAGAATAAACAGTCAGAAACCAAGTGGACAGCCTGGAGACACCAGTCAGCCAGAAGCCACATGTCAAGGAGGAAGCAGCAGACTAGCAGGGGCGGGGGGCTAGCACGAGGACCCAGAACCGGCCCCAGGAAGTAGTCACTGGTGACCGAGCAAGTGGAGGCCCAAACCGTAGAGAGGCTCAAGCTGGATGCCCGGAGGAAGTTACACTAAAGATGAGGCCCCAAGTGACAGGAGTTATTCAAAACACAGCAGGTAGGTGGGGCGCAGAAGGGGAGGATGCCCAAGACGAGCACCGTGCTGCGTGGGTGGCGCGAGAGAATGGGGACAGCACGGGTAGCGCATGCGGCCCCGACACATGCCCCGGGGCGGGACGATCAAGGGTGTTAGAAAGAGATGCCATGTTCAGATCTGCACTTAGAGGGATGTCACCGGAGTGCTCTGAGGGTCGACAGGAGACTGAACGAGTCGGAACGCAGACCGGTGAGGAGACAGGTAACCCAGGCCAGATGAAGCTGTGGGACTTGGGGCAGCGGCAGCGTGGAAGGAAGAGGTGACTGGCTGGTGGGAGGGGGAGCTGACGATAGTGCTGTGTGTTCTCACAGGTGTAACAGTCCACTCAATCATTCTGTTGAGATTGACGGCCCTTCAGCTGTCCTAGGAGACACACATAGGCGCGTGTATGTACATGACATGCACGCGACGTGTGTCTGTCTACATACGTGATGGTCAGAAAACAGACAGAGGCAGCCAGAAAGTGCTGACTAGAGGCCGAACTGTCACTGCACCCCACAAGCCCAGACAGGGTCGGTCACCAGCAGACAGACGGGGGAGGGTGCACCACCAGCAGATAGCAGCTCTGCAGCACGTCAGAGGGGGTGAGCAGCTCCTTGGCCCGGCCCCCACAGGCACGCAGAGCCTGCACGGCAGGCTGGGACAGTGAGGCTGGTACGGGAATCCGAGCACTAACTCTCTCCCACATTGGTCCCACAAGCGCCAAGCCACCTGGATTCCACGGCGGCTTCCGGTGCAGCTTCCTCCAGGGAGGCGGCGAGCAGAACCTCGGCCCTCACCCCGCGCGGTGACTGGCGGCTCTAAGGCAGCTGCAAGCAGTCCCTCCTGTGAGCTGGCCGAGCTGGCCCTGCAGGGTGATGCCAGCGCAGTGACAACACAGAGAAGCCTAAGTCCCACAGCACCTCACCAGGAAATGCCAGCTTATCGGCGACTGTTCAGGCACTGGCCAGCTCACAGCTCCCCGCTTTTAAACCATAAACGCGGACTCCTTTCCATGTTATTTTAAGTGCTTCTCTAAATGGAATTTCCAAAGTAACATTACAGAACGTGTGTTAAAGAGCGAGAGCATCTTCGGGACTGTTGCTGGGCGCTGCCCACATGCTCTTGGCAACGAACCGGTGCCTGGCACAACCTGCCCTCCCAGGGGACCAAACGGGAGCATGCAAAGCTGTTGACAGCTTTCATTTCAAAGCTTCCTAAATTCAACTGTATGCCACGGTTGCATCAACAACCAGGCCTTAGTACTCAAGGAAAACACCAGCCTCTTGCTTTTCATACAAAGAAGGTGCGTGGTAAACCACCCACCAGCTGGCAGCGCAGGCCCTGCAGCCTTGCACAAATGCTTGACCTCGGTGCCGTGTCACCGTCTTTCATGGGAAATACCCTGAGCTCACAGCTGTTCTGCGGGACGGTGATGCTGAATGCAAGCACCCGGGAGGTGACCCCCTCAGCTAGTTAACTCAATGAATAATTAGAGGTGCCACCCTGGACCAGGCACTGTCCGGGGACTAGAAACACTCGTGAACATGACAGACACTCACGGGGCACACAGTCTAGGTGGAAGGACAATCAGTAAATTACGTAACTACTACGTTTTGTGTCAGGAGGGCCAAAAATCGAGGCTCTTCTTGCAAATGTAAGAGCAAGGCACAGCCTCGTCCCCAGGGGGACTGGAACAGCGCTCCTGGCCCTCAGCGCAGCTTCACGCAGGTCCAGAGACCGAGCGAAGACCCGAGTGAGCCGATCACTTCTTAGTGGAGGCTGGAGAGCAGCGGGCGGCCCCTCCTCGGCACGTGCTCCCAGAGGTTCGCAGGGTGACGAGGGGTCCCCCAAGGTTCATGCAGGACAAGCACATAGATTTGGCCGAAGCAGAAAGCGCAGACTGTGCCTGCAGAGACGGTAAGTGAGTCTCTCGCATATGAACCCTATGACCCTGAGAAGCCACCATCACAGCAATCGACAAGTCCCAGAGGCCTGGAAGGAGCACCAGCGCCAGGGGCCCCACACCTGCTCAGTGATCTGTCACTCAGGGTGTCTCTCCTCTTTCTCAGCACAAGACCACCAAGGGCCGCCCTCTGCTTCTACCCGAGAAAGAGCAGCTGTCCAGGCAGAGGTGCCCTTCTTTCTGTGACTCAGGCCTTGAGATGCGAGGATCAAAAATAGAGAATGAACTTCAGCCTTCTAACAATCTATGAAATAAATGTATAAGTACCAAAAATAAATATAAAGAATATCATTCAGCCTTAAAAATAACTTTCTGATACGTGCTGCAACGTGGATGAACTAAAGATGGAAGACATTAAGCTCAGTGAACTAGACACGGAAGGACAAATATATCGCATAATTCCTGCTATGCGAGGGACAGAGCCATCGAATTCAGAGGCAGAAAGTGGGACGGTGACTGCTGGGGCGGGGGTGGGGTCAAGTAACTTGTTTACTGAACACAGTGCTGTCTGGGGAGACGGAATGCATACTGGGGATGAATGCTGGTGTTGGTCACACAGCCACATGGCTTTACTTAAGGCCGTTGAATACCTGAGCGTGGTCTGAATGGTCTACTTTACATTATGCACATTTATAACAGAAGGCGGAGGCCGGCAGGAGGAAGGCCTTTACGTGGCCCGAGGGAGTTAAAAGGCTTCATACTGCACCTCAAAAGTAATTGCCAGGCTCCAAAAACCGAAGAATATTACGAATACTCCCCAATGATCACACCCGTCGCCTTCGCATCTATGGCCAGCCTCCCAGCCCTATCCTTCCGCCTCACCGGCAGTTAAGTTACAGATACCTGTGGTCCATGCGCTATAAAAAACCACAGGGCTTTGGGGGTGGGGAGGACACGGAATTAGGCTGGAACACTCAACTGTCAATCACACACGCGTGCACACACAGGTAAGAACCTAACGAAAACTGGCACAGTTCTACACACAGTGAGTGCTTTGGAATCGCAGGTACACGAGGACCACGCACTGCGCAGCTGTGCAGCTCGCGAGCTACCGGGAAGCGGGGAAGCGCTGTATGACACAGCCGTGCGTGCGGGCGGCTCCCAGCACGCGAAATCAACCGGGACAGGGCGACGTGGGAGACGGCACAGTCCACGGTCTGTGTGCCTCGGTTCGGCCAAGTTCGATTTTCTGTGTTCACCTAGTATTCCCCACAGATGAAATCGTGCATGGCAAACTCAAATTCTCATTATGTTCAAACTGTTCCCGAGTCTATCAATCCCCCTGGAACAAATTCATGCGTCCAAACGAGCATTTAGAGCAGAACTAACTGCTGCACACCAGGTAACCTGAATGTCAGTCACCCACCCAGGCTCTATCTTGTCCCATAATCTGATACATGCCAGGGTCTCCACCACACTTGAGGTAACTACTGCTCACCCTTCGAGGCCTACCTCAAAGGCGGCTTGTGTTTCTCAACTACTCTTAGTCCTGATCTAACCATTTCTGCTTCTGCATTCAACACGATAAATGTAATTCTAAGGTGAATACTTCTAACGGCATCCCCCACTATTAGCACAGACGTGTTGGGTAAATGACTTTACTCCACGAAAATAAATTGCGAAGCTCATTAGATGCTTGACAGAAGTGGCAGATACTTCGAAGAGATGGCGCAGAGGGTTTCTGAGGGGGAAAGACGCATGGGGGAAATGGAGCCTTGCGCTGCCGGTAAAAACAGTCGCCATCAGAAAACAAAATGAGACTCACAAACGTGACCATCTGAGAGAACAGGAGAAAACACCTCTACCTGAAGCATTTTCAACTTGCAGGGAGAAAGAGGCCAGAAGAGCCAGAAAAACATCAAGAATGTGCCTAGAAAAAACGCAAATTTTAGTAGTGCTGGTATCGCAAGCAGCAGAATTTAGCAAGTTTGGCTAAAATAAGAGGTGAGGTGCAGCAGAGAAATGCGCAGGCCCTAAGACCACCGCGGGGCCGGGGGTGGGGGTGGGCGCTCAGGATCAGTAACCAGAGCCTGCAAACGTCATCGCTGAAAATCCAGTTCCTTGAGAATTTTTACAGTCGGACCTCTCCTGGGTAAACATTTTCAAAAGAAAAAGAAACATGAACATAAAATCAATATCCCCCACTTTAAAGTTTTATTTTTACTATTTAAAGCTACTAGAAACCCTGGCCATGTGCTTTCCCGCCACAGAAAGACGTGGATGACAACGTCCAGCAAAAGGAAGAGAGATGGAGTCTGAGGTTCAGATGCAAGGTCTGCTTACTGTGTGACCTTGAGCAAGCGACTGACGTCCATGTGCAAGTAAAATGGAGCTAAGCAGGACTGCCCAACAGGCTGGGTGTGTAAGAGGTGTGAGTGGTAGAAGACACTCGCCAGTAGATGTGATTACCTCGCAAATCTAGAGGAACCCCTCAGACAAGTGAGTCACATTCCAGGCCTTTTGTGCCTGCTTCCAGCTTATCTCTTCACTCCCATCTCTCTGAACAATCTGTATTTCGACCTCAGGGAATTTCTCATTCCCTCCACCCTCATGCCTCAGCTCCACCAGGGCCTGTATGGCGCCTGCTGCTGCACCCCAAGCAGAAAGCTTGGCACACAAAAGACCTCAAAAATGTGCTGACTTAGAATATTAAAGTATGCATTCTCAAAGGAGGCAAAAAAAAAAATCTCACTCCTTTTATGTACAAAGCAGATATGCATACGGTACATAAAAAGGCACACATTATATAGACAGCATTGTATTTCACGGAGAGAGGGCAATTAGAAAAACAATGTCTGAAGAAAGCTCGCTGTAAAATGGTTGCTAAATATTGTATTAAGACAAAATTTTTGAATCAGAATTAGAAGCTCAAGTTCAGGCAATACAAAAGCCAGCAATCCACCTTTCTACTGGAACGTTCCCATTTCACCTTAAACTCACAGATAAAACTGAACCCAATGTCTCCCACCCATTAAAAAAATTACCAGAAAAAAAAAAAGATTCCCTTCAGCGTCTCTGCCTTTCGTTACCAGAGGTCCCAAAACTCCTGGTCACCGAGCTCGAAGGCCTGCCTAGTCCCGCAGTTAGGAAACCGAGGTTCCCGATTCGCTCTGCTGTCAACTAGCTGGCTGCGCGACCTTGGGCAGACTGCCTCAGTCTCCCCAACCGCTCGAGCAGCCTAAGCTGAGCGCAGGACTGCAGAGCGGACTGAGTCTGGCTCCTAGATTCGGCGCAGAAGAACAAAGGCATGGCTGTGAACGTCGACAGGCACCGGACAAGGATAAGACAAAAGCCATAACCCCACAAAAAAGGCTCCCCGGGGCTCCAGGCTCCTCCAGGCTAAGAGCTCTCCCTTCCCCCCTCGACGGGGTCAAAGGGTGGACAGTGGCATTCACTGAGTCCTGCGATTCGGGTCTAAAGCCTCAGCGTCAAGGCCCTGATAACCTTCCGACACCTGCCTGCGGGCGCCCGAGGGGCGGGGCCTCGGCCGAGGGCCTCGGCAATCACGGGTTCCACCAACGACCGGAAGCTGAGGACTTACTACACTCAGGCCCTGGGCCGGGCGCCCCCGGCCCCGTGCAGGCCCGCAGGAGGCTCCGCCACGCGGTTCGGTAGGGCTCGCAGGCCCGCGATGGCGGGGCGGCGGCGCGAGCACACAAAGGAGGCGGCGTTGGCGAGGAACAAAACCCTTGCCCAGGTCTCCCCCGAAAGGCCCACACAGCCCCCGCCGCCCTGGGCCGCCCCGCCCGGCTCTCCGAGTGACCTTGGACGCCTCCCTCCCTCTCCGAACCTCGGTTTCCCTGGCTGCTTTGCGGACTGAGCGCCGCGGCCCGCCCGGGCAGCCAAGAGCCAGGGCAAGGCCTCCTCACATTGTTGCATGCGCCAAAACGGGCTCGTGCAGCCCCTCCGACGCCGAGGAAGGCGGACGGGCCGGCCCGCGGGCACGGGGAAGGCCCGACCCCGCTTCGGGGCCCGAAGGGGGTCGGCCTTGCCGAGGCGGCTCCCTGGGCCGCGGCGCCGAGGCCTCTGCAGGCCGCAAAGTCGCCCGAACCCCCCATCTGCCCACTCCTGGGCTGCCGCTCCCTCCCCGCGAAGTCTGGCCGTACTTGGAGCGCGGCTGGTCCCGCAGGCGCGGCCGCCGCCGCACTCGAGCTGGGATGCACCTTCGGAAGCTGCTGAGGAGAAGCCCTCCAGCAAGAAGCCACCGCCTCAATAGCGAGCCACTTCCGCTCCTGAGGCATCGGCTCCGCCCCTCTTGCATCCCCATTGGCCGCCACCGCCTTTACTCCCGCGTTCTACGGGTCGAGGAGGTATATTTTCAATTCTATTGGATAAGAAAACCATCTATTACCACTTTGAAACGCGCCTTGTTCCGGGCCCGCTCACGCTCGCGAGCGCAAGCTCCGGTCTTCTCGCGAGAGACGCGATCGGCACCTCTCCGCTCGTCCGCAAGGCCTCCCGGGAGTTGTGGTCTGCGGACCGACGCGTTAGTCCAGGCCGGCCCTCGCGTGGCGCAAGCACCCGGCACGCCCCCGCCCCTCTCCGGGCCGCGGTTTCCACCCCTGTCAACGAGGCCCTTGTAAGCAGTGTTTCCGGGGGCTCTACAATTGGCCGGAAACTGGATCAAGATCTGCCCCTCTTCAAGGGCGCACGCGACTCGCGGCGTGCCAGGCCCTGGTCTGGCGTCTGTCCCCGTGATCCTGGACTGTCCCAGGCTGGAGGTGGAGACGGGAGGGAAGCACAGCCTGGTCCATCTGCGGGAACCTGGAGGAGGCCCTGAACCCGGACTCGGGAGGGCTCCCCGGAGGAAGCGACCTCGGAGCTGGGAACTGAAAGGACAAGAGGGGAGAAGAGAGTTCTAGAAGAGGGACCCTGGGTGGGGAGAGATTGAAGGCCGCCCAGTGTGCCGGGAGCACAGGTGGAGGGCATTGTGGGTGGGGGATGGCGAGAATCAGCTCTTGGAGGTTAGGAACCTGGTCCAGATGCCGGGCTAAGAATCTGGATAAGCCCCAGGCCAATGGACGTCAGGAAAGGAAGGACTGGACCACAGAGAGCACGCTCGTCCAGGTCTCACCAAGGTGCAGCAGAAGGAAGCTCTCAACAGGGGCCTCTGGGCCTCTGCTTCAACTCCAAGGTCAACAGTGCAGGCCCTGGATCCCTCCTGTCTGAGTCTGAATCCCAGCTCCACTGTTTAATCACGTCTCACCAGTTCCCTGTCACATGGACATGATAACAGTACCTTCGTCAGAGGAAGCAGGTGGAGAGCCGGAGCACAAGCACAGCACTGCATAGGTGCCTGCCAGCCCCTGAGTGGGGGCTGCAGATCATTTCTTTTTGTTCTGAGAATACCCGGATCTCAGGCCATGCTCTGGTCCCTAGGCTCACTCAGGCAGCGAGGAGATCACTCCAAATGCCTTGGAATGGACTGTTTTCTAAGATCCGGTCTTTAACCCAGAAGATCAAGTCATGTGGAAAAGATCAAGCAGATCAAAACCAGAGCATTCATATTTTTGTGTTGAGTTTATAAGCTATCTGTCTTTGATACTTTATGTAATTATAAGGGAACTTGGCATGGTAGAGTAAATATCAGATAAATTTGATTCCAGTGTGAAATACGTGGTTGAGTACTTAATTTTGATAGTGATTTTAAGTTGGAAGGTATAATATTTTCCAAAGTTTGTGATCATAATTGGAATATTAAAGAGAATTTACAAGTTTAAGAGAAATGGAGACATTTGATAGGAACTTTTAACACTTGATAAGGCAGACAACTAAAATGCTAAAAAATAAGTTTAGATTCTACATGTGTAAATGCGGTTTAAATGTTTAAGGGGATTTGGCTTATAAATGAGACCATATATGACTAATCAAAATGATAGCTAAAAATGACCAGATTTATAAATAAGATTAGTCATCTGAATTTCACAGCTTAAGGAAAAGCTAGAGGTTTCTATTTGTAACTTTAATACATTAAAGATATGTTGAAAAACAAGGTCATGAAATATACCACTTTCGTGCTCAGAAGCTCTTCAAGTCCTCTGCAAACTGCACTTGACACCGAGCTTGTGTGAGCATCCCTGGCTCCCTCTCAAGCAGTACCTCCCTCTGGCCCCGAAGGTCTCCAGCTTAGAGAAAAGACTGGCACCTCAGTGCTCCCACAGTGCCTCACAGCTAAGTGCAGATTTGGGGGCCTCACCAAAACCTGAATCTCTGTGGGTGAGGCCTGAGATCTTCCTTTAACTATCTCCAAAGGAAGAACCCCTACCCAAATGAGTTTTGGACATTGTTAGACATTGTCAAGAAGGGTTTTCTGGCTGTGCTTATGCAGAAAATACCCTTAAACAGAATGTCAATTTCCCAGGTGGTCCAGAGCGGAGCTTTCTGGGTATGGGCTGGCCCTCTTTCCAGGGCAGCTTGCTTCATGCAGGCAGGGGTCCTCACTCTTACAGGCTGGTCAGTTACCTACTGCTTCAGGCCAAACCTCCTTAGAGCTCAATGCGTTAAAGAGGCATTTATTGTTGCTCATAAATCTACAAGTTAGTTTGAGGGCGAAGGTTCTGGTCCTGGCCGGCCTCACCTGTTGTGGTCTGCTGGTTTGTCGGGTGGTGAAGGATGGCTGCCACTAGGATAACAGGCTCTCCACGTGGTGTCTCATCCCAGCAGGCCCCCCAGGGCATGCTTAGCCTGGCCTGGGCAGGGTTCCAGGAAAACGAGGAAGCTCCAAGGCCACTTGAGGCCTATGAATTTCACAGCTTAAGGAAAAGCTAGGGGTTTCTATTTGTAACTTTAATACATTAAAGATATGATGTTGAAAAACAAGGTCATGAAATATACCACTTTCGTGCTCAGAAGCTCTTCAAGTCCTCTGCAAACTGCACTTGACACCGAGCTTGTGTGAGCATCCCTGGCTCCCTCTCAAGCAGTACCTCCCTCTGGCCCTGAAGGTCCCCAGCTTAGAGAAAAGACTGGCACCTCAGTGCTCCCACAGTGCCTCACAGCTAAGTGCAGATTTGGGGGCCTCACCAAAACCTGAATCTCTGTGGGTGAGGCCTGAGATCTTCCTTTAACTATCTCCAAAGGAAGAACCCCTACCCAAATGAGTTTTGGACATTGTTGGACATTGTCAAGAAGGGTTTTCTGGCTGTGCTTATGCAGAAAATACCCTTAAACAGAATGTCAATTTCCCAGGTGGTCCAGAGCGGAGCTTTCTGGGTATGGGCTGGCCCTCTTTCCAGGGCAGCTTGCTTCATGCAGGCAGGGGTCCTCACTCTTACAGGCTGGTCAGTTACCTACTGCTTCAGGCCAAACCTCCTTAGAGCTCAATGCGTTAAAGAGGCATTTATTGTTGCTCATAAATCTACAAGTTAGTTTGAGGGCGAAGGTTCTGGTCCTGGCCGGCCTCACCTGTTGTGGTCTGCTGGTTTGTCGGGTGGTGAAGGATGGCTGCCACTAGGATAACAGGCTCTCCACGTGGTGTCTCATCCCAGCAGGCCCCCCAGGGCATGCTTAGCCTGGCCTGGGCAGGGTTCCAGGAGAACGAGGAAGCTCCAAGGCCACTTGAGGCCTAGGCACACAGCCACTTCTGCTGTGTCCTATTGGCCAAAGCGCGTCAAGGCCTGAGAGAAATAGACCCTGCCTCTTGATGGGAGGTCACAAGGCAAGAAACAGGCATACAGGGAGACATTCTGCCATCCATCTACCATGCAAGGCCTGCCCTCAGGCCACTACTTCAGGGGATGGCTCAAGGCCAGCTCCCACCCAGATTTGTGTGACAAAAAGCCTAGGTGCTCTCAAGGTGGCTCTGAGCAACTGACTAGTACAGGAGGGCGGTGAGGGACCTTGGGTCCTGCCAACCAGCAATGTTGTCAGTATCCCCAGAATCTGCTGGCCCATGACCTCTCCCCTCTGCTCCGGTCTGGTAGGTGGAGGTAATTGTCCTCTCTTGCCACGGGGCTTGCTTTGGGTGCCATGCAGATCTCCCCCGCCCACAGGAACTGGCTCAGCAGAGCACACTCGATTCAGACCAGGGATACTGGAACAGATGTTCACAAGGCTTCAAGCAGAGGCGGCCCTCTGAAGAGAGCCCTTCTTCCTCTGGGTGTTGTGGGGCTGGAGCTGCTACTGGCTTGGAGACGAGGCAGAGCTCCTGGATCAGGCCTGTCCTGAAGTCGACCCGACCTTTGGCTTCCCAGTTCTGAGGAGCCCATACTTCCCCTTTTGAAACCCTCAGCTCCTGAGGGACTCTCTGGACAGGTCATCACCAGTGTAGTCCCTTGATATCAAGTGAAATGAGTTTGAATCACACTGCACAGGATATAAGAAATGTCATGTTTATTTCTTTAAATGAAATTTAATCTGCTCCCTGCTCTAGTTTCCTCTTTTTACCAACCTGGGTTTTGGGAAAGTCTTGGGGTTCTGACGTGGTTGAGAATACTGGGGGAGGACCTTGCTCTTTCTTCTGTTCTTGTCACTTAAAAGTGGCCACCTTCCTGATCCGAATGTGCCCTGGGGTCCAGCCTCCCCCTCGGAGGTGCCATCTTCGCCACAGACCCCGGCCGGATGGGGGTGCACGTCTCCTGGTTAGCTATTGACCTGGCGGCTTCTCTCTCCTTCCTGTGGGTCGCGGCACAGCAGGCTTCCGCTAGGCCACCTCGGGGCCACGCCCCCTCCAGCCTGGTGCTGGGGCCCAGGCCCCAGGAGAAAGAATCTTGTCCCTGAGCAGCCTTCTGCTCAGTGGCCCAACCTTGTTCCCTCCGTGACTCTGCTGAAGGCTGGGCAGCGCTCTAAAGTCACTCAGGCTTAGATTAGAATTTCCGCTCTGGGGGCAGGTCACTTCACCTCGGAGCACCTCCTCCCCCTTAAACCCCCTTAATGAGATAAGGTATGAGAAGGGCCAGTTCCTGTGGCTCAAGAATCCTGGCCTCTTCTCCGACCAAACGCATGCGCACAATCACACCCCCAGCCGTGGGGGTCCCGGGGTTAACCCACCCGATTCTGGACAGAGAGGGGGGATTCCACGTAGCCACGTGCAGAGGGGGCTCTGGGAGCTCTGAAGAGGGGGCCCCGCGAATGCCTCGTCCTGGGGCGTAGGGAAGGGCTAGGGCGTACAGATTCAGCACATAAAATTCGGGACTCACAGATAAATTTGAATTCCAGATAAAGAGCGGATACTTTTTCGGCACAAAGTTGTCGCAATGATGGGGAGTCCTGCATTTTCTCTGGCAACCCCCCGCTCTGGGCAAGGGGAGACTGGGGGGGGAGGAGGCGGAGGCGGAGGAAGAGGAAGCGCAAGCCACTGGCCGTCGCTTTATTGAGAGGGGGCGGGGGCCAGGGGCGTGGCCGGGGCCGGGGGC